CATCTCATAAGTAAAAAATAAAATTGAAATTGTAAGCTACCATAACTCATCATTTTGCAGTGCCATTCATCAAAGATAATTTTTTTCACCTACATTGTAATGAATGAATCAATCAGATGAATTGGTTTAAAACAATTTGTAGTCTATAATTTACTCATTTTGTCACAATTTGCCAACTCAGATCACAGAGAGAGAGAGAGAGAGAGAGAGAGAGAGAGAGAGAGAGAGAGAGAGAGAGAGAGAATGACTACCATCAGAAATTTGTCATCCTTGGATTAGATCTTTTATCACACTTCAGTAGAATATTAATGTGATAATAAAAACCAAATACTGCAAACAAACGTATGAATAAGCAAGGTTTTCAATAGAAAGGCATTGCTTTATGAACACCTTATGAAATTCTGTAGGAAAGATAAAAGGAAACTTTCGTTACATAATTCATTGAATTCATTTCCTCAGGCCATTAATCATTATGTCTTCTAGGTTAGGCATGCTTCACCTATAATTCAGAAGAACTGCTTTGGACTTCACAGAAACACAGTATCTCTCTGTCATTCATTAAAGAATGATATTCATTAAAGAGATCCCTTCCAGCCCTATGATTCTATGCTTCTAAAGCAGCCACACCTTTTGTAAGCAACCTGAGAATCTGGGAAAGCTACTGTTTAATGAATAACAGAGAGATTTTGCAATTGTGCCTGCACATGGTTCAAAGCCATTCTTCTAAAACATTTTTGAAACACATGGAGTACCATCTTCAGGAAAAGAAGCTGTGTGACTCTGCATTATTAGTTGTTTGGTATAAACATAGGAGAATGCTATTACTCCCCTGTCCTGCTGGGAGAGTGATAGAAATATAGCATATACCTCTGTGGAACTGACATTAAATTGGATTTTCAGGAATCTTTAAAACTGGTTATTTTTACTGCTTTAAATATTCTAAAATCAGCATATTACATTATGGCCAATATTTTCTAAATTGGAAGCAAGTAAGGCAATATCTTCCAGAGGTCTTAGACTTCATTTCTAACCAGCACTTCAAGAGGTCTTGGAGCTGTAGCCCCAAACATTTGTAGAATGTTAGATTGTCAAGTCTTGAAAAAACAATGTCAAGATATGTAAGAGGAAATGCTGAAAGGATGTTACTTCTGAAGGATCTCAAAATCAGCAACTGCATTCTAAGAATATCAGTTCTCAGACAGCATTCACGATAGTGGTTCATAATGAGAATTACTTCAATTTGTTGTTGACACTGCAGTCCACAAAACCTCTTCTTTATAAGATTGTCCTAAATGGGATGGTGGATCAATCACTGCAGCTTCAAAGAACTATGGGAGACATGCTAGCAGATTTGGCATTGCCCCAAAGGATGCTAAGTTTGTTTATTTTGAACAGAACACCTACAGCTTACACGATCAGGTGTGTGTGAAAGTCATGGACATTACCTGCTGGCAGCTGGTTGCTCTTCCTTGCTATTACACCCTCTTCACCTGCTTACTTATGAGAAGGTGATATGAGAAGGGGGTGACAAACACTTTCCACAAGCCAGTGAAAGAGTGAACTGCTGCAGACCTGCTGCTCAGGCCACTTCACCTCTGTCTTCAGTTTCAAAACTGTCACCAGATCCCTCTCCCTCTGCTCCTGCAGTTTTACACTCAGCATTTGAATCTTCTTCCTCTTTCAAAAATGCAGTGCTTTTTGACCTGCTGGTCAGCTGCTGAAACAAACATCTCAAATCCTCATGAGTGTGCAAAGCTAATTGTGCAGCTTTTTGTGTCCCAGTTCCTTTTACCAACAAAATTAAAATTGAACATTTGTCTGAGCTGATACGGTTAGTACAACCCTAGGTTGCTCTGCCAACTATTGGTGATGGCTGCAATTTTTGGATGTTATTCATTAAAGCCATTGTACCTTTTTCAAACTTTTGCGTGAGCTATGCCTAGACTTCTGAAAAATGTCAGGCTACTTTAAAGAATAGCAAAAATGCTGTACCTTCATGAAGCACTTCTTCCCAATCATTTTCAAAGCACTATCAGCTATATTGAATAATGTACACTACATTTCAGTGAACCATGTGGATGAAGGATTACAGTCCAAAATTAAAGTCAGGATTATGTAGATTAATATACAGGAGTAACTTCCCTGCTTTCTTACAGATTAAAGTTTCTCCAGTCAGATTGGCATTAAAACCATGTCATATCACACTGTGATCCAGTAAGTGACCATATGAATGGACAAGCCATTCTACCAAAGCCTTTGGGATATTGCAGAAATTTATGGGCCATCCTGTTTCATGTTAGAAGATGTCTTGGACAAGACAAATGACTGTGCTGCACTTGAATAAAGTTACCTGTGAAATAAGAGCGAGCTTCCAATCTGCACTGGAATGATGTCACTGTAAAAGGAATCTGTTTAATATTTTTTGCCATAGAAATACCTGGATTCTTCTCTCCAAAAATAACAAAGGCAATCACAGCTTTATAGATTTGCCATAGGTTTTAAGTTTTCTACAAAACACAACAGAATCTGCTAAGAGTTGTATTTCTGAAATCCACTAAGGTATGGTTTTATGTATTGTTCAGTCTCATCCTCCACATAAATACTACAAATGGAAAATATTCATCTTTAGATCAGGAAGCTAAGCTGGATTTTCAGAATCATTACTATAATCATTTGGGATATGTTGAGTTACATGTTAATAATAATATTAGGGTTATCCTCCAATTAAATCAATCTCAGTTTATTAACCCGTGCTTTTCATTCATTGATTAAATTTTTATTTATTTGCATATAAATCAATAGTTCTGAAGCAAAATACTTCTTCCAGTGTTTTAGACGATGCATGTAGACACTGCTAAAAAGCACGGAAAGAAAAAATAATTTTTCCTAAGATGCTTGCCATCTATGTTTAGAGAGGAACCTTTATTTAAAATTATCAAGTTTAAAATGTTGCTATCTAATTAATTGAGAGAACCTTTCAATGAATTGATTACAATCATTTGATCAGTTGGTGATGACTCCCCCCCCATACATACTTCCCCAGATACCTCTCCAGATGTCAGCTTGGAGGAAGATGAACCAGTTCCAGGCATGTCTGGAGGGGAGTTAGTTAATGGCTCCAAGCAGCTGTCTGAGAGGGATTTGGCTGAAGCACAGCTGCAGCAAGAACAGCCCTGAGGCTTCAGGTGGAGAAAGTATGCAGCTGCAGCTGGTCAGTGATGAGGAAGAGGAACTGCCTTCTGCACCTGATCCAAGTACACCTAGGGGAGAGAAGGTCAGCCAGACTACTCATGAGGGAAAAGCCTTGCCCTTCTTGATGGGTTGTACCAGAAGCTGGAAGCGATACTGAGAATATCATGTTCATTTCCTAGCTGTGTGTTTTCTGGTTGTTGTGATTCTTGCCTAGCTTTGGATTGATGCCTTGCCTTGCCTTGGATCGTGCCTTGTGAACTCAGGATTTTTCTTGCCTTGTGAACCCTCTTGTACTGTGGATTTAATTTTGCCTTGTGAGTTTATTTTGATGGAATTTACAAGTGCTTTGTGGACTCATTGGCCATTGTTCTGTGGACTAGCATTGGTCTGCTTGTGGCTTGACTTAATTGGGACAGTTCTGGGGTTTTGGTGAAAGGTGTTGTGGGAGAATATTAATAAACCTACAAAACCACAGTTACATGTGTGTGTGTGAGAGAGGGACAGCACACTAATCAACTATTTAAGAAAACTGGGATCCTAAATAATGTTATTACCACAGCTATTTATAAAAAAATCATCATTATTATACATATTGAAATCAAGTAGGAATGCAGAAATAATTTTACCATGACCAGCCAAGTAGAATTTTGAATATACTTCTCTCTACACCATATAGTCACATTTCATTCAGTCACAGACTTTCAATGTGTGTGTGTGTGTGTGTGTGTACATACTTATATGTGAAAATCTGAGTTTCTTCTTCCCAATGTTAAAAGGTAACATCATAATATCACTTTCTTAATTATTATTGAGGTCTGGAACTGAGATAAGATTGCATTACTGCAGGATTTTTTTGATCTATTGCTCAGATATATTATGGAGCAAAGGAAGTGATTGTGCTTAATTGAATAGGAAAAGAGCCAAAGATTCTTTGATGCTCTGGCCTGTCTCAGATCCTCTGAAGAAAAATCCTAAGTCTCATTCATAGGAAAAAAACACTACAGTATTTTTTTTATGTCAAAACAGTCAATTGGATCCCTAAGAATGTTCAGCCTCTGAAAGGTTTGTGTTTGACAATTGGATGAAGCCTTGTATCTGATCATTTAATCAGATGAATTTCCTATTGGACTTTAGATTTCCTCTAAAGGTACCTGGGAGTCACAGGTAACTCTCAATAGTCTCTGGCTTGGTTGTCTCCTTTAAGGGACAAGAGACTGAGTCATGCCATCACGTTCCAGAACATTTCCTTCCTTCTCCTATTGGTATAAGGAATGCACAAATGTATGACATTTTAATGGTCTAAATCAGGAGTCCCCAACCTGTGGGCCATGGCCCACTCATCCCCACTCGTGTTAGTGCCGCCGCTACAAAAATGGGGCACCTCAGAGCAAAAATGGGGTGCCACATGGTGAAAACAGGGCGTTGCTAGTGTCATGTGGGCACTAGCACTGCCCCATTTGCGTCGCGCGTGCTCGCGGCCCCGTTTGTGTGCGCGCACGTGCGTAAGATGCTTCCTCCTCCCTTTCCCTCTGATCCTCCAACTGAGAAAGGTTGGAGACCTCTGGTCTAAATATTCTGAGACCAAATGCATGTATTATCTGTCTTGCAAAGCAGAGAATAAGGAGATGCCCAAATCCATAAATCTATTGTAGCCCTTGGGCCTTACTGCCCATTGCAACATTTCCAATTTTATGAGCACATTTATCCTCCCCCCACCCCTAATAAAATAATATTATGGCAGAGGAAAACTCCAGCAATAAGAACACAAGAAACTTTTCTTTCTTTTCTTTTTTTTTGCCTAAACAGCATTGCATTTCAGCTTTTAATGAGGAATCTATTCTGTAAGCATAAATAACCTAAAGGCTCGGATTTATTAAGAATGCAAAAAAGAAAAAGAATTAAAAAAATAAATCAGGGTAAAAGGAACATTTCCACCCCAAAACAGTGTAGCACTTACTTGTCACATCTAGAGCTATTGTCACTGCAATTTTCTTGCCCTGCAAACAGGGCTGTCCTTTCTTACCAACCATTTAAATAATAAATTTCCAACTATGCTGCTCGCAGCATTACTAACAAAAGAGAAAAAAAATATTAACTTACAAAATATCCAATTCTTCATACATAATTATGACAAATAAACATTTTAAATTAAACAGCTTTCTTTCTTTCTCTGGGTATCCACATTTCATTCCAGTTTCAGGTAGCTTGGCACTGAGTAATTGAACATTAAAAAATCAAGTTTGTAGACTTCATACAGCTGTGTTTGGTGCTCTGAACTGATGTTCTGGAAGAACTCTGCAGTCATTTCATCAGTAGTTCTTGTAGACTTTGCATAAGTGGGGAACTTGAGATAGTTTCCTACTCCTGCTAGTTGAAGAATGTAGTTGGAATCCTCCTCAAGAGTCTCGTACTTCCCTATGAGGTCGTAATGGATGTGACAAGGATGGCACAGAGAAAAGACAGTTTGCCAGTGTTCGTTGAAGGGCTCCTCTCTTTGAGTTTGCGGGTCTATGAGGTAAGCCACAAACTCTTCAAATTTTACATCATCACCTTTATGCAGAGCCTCCTGTGTTGCATTTTTCCTTTGGCGCTTCACAATTTTGGTACCATATCTCTTGTGAAAGGAGGTGTTATATTTTTGGGTAAATTTGTTTCTGTAGGCTGACACCAATCTCTCGAAAGGCTCACGGACAAATAAAAACTTCATGTAGTTTTTCAAGCGATGGTTGATCTCTGGGATGCTGTACTGGTTGAGTGTTTTCAAGTTTGATGAGACATGTGCTTCATTTGCTGGTATCTCCATTGGATCGGTGTATTTTCCTCTCCCAGTCAACACCATCATGACTCTTTTCCAGTTGGTACAGGCCACTTTGGGGACATAGCAATAAATCAATTCATGATCTTCATCAACCACTAAATGTTTAAGATCATTAGGTGTTAACACACGACGCTTCTTGCTGGACATGATGTTGGCTCGGCATGTATCTGTCACTTGATCCCTCCGGATTTGATGAAGGATTGCTGTGCTGGATAATTCCAACTATATAAATAAAACACAAATAAAGACAATTTAGTACTGTTTGGAAAGACTTCTTCCATCTTGTTATTTATACCTTCTGCTATCCTTGTTGCTAAAGCCCACCAAAGTGGTACACTGCTACAGATCTCAAAGATATCCTAGGCAGAAATTGAAGAGCTACTTCTAATTCTCTTCTACACATATTCTTCTGCTATTGTATACAAAACTTCCTTTACCGCTTTGAAATAAAATAGTTACTAAAAATGCACTTTCTTTGAAAACTAGTGGCTTGTTCAGTCCAAAACCAATATTACAACTTAAGGATGATGCTGAATCTTGTACTTTATAGGCATACTCTTTAAATGCAGTCTACAGATCATACATTACAGTACACTTTTTGCAATTCTACTAAGAAAAAGGGTTCAGTTCTCTTGTGTACCCTCTGTTCTAAAAGAACATCTTGATGGCGACAGCATTTTATTTATTAGTTGCTACATTACACTCCAGCTGGGAACACAGCAGACAAATTTGCATGTAATATGCTCTCTTTCCATCCTTTTTCTCCCCTGTGCTGGATTTTGATGCATCTGTGGTTTATCAATGCACAATTCCCTATCACCTTCAAATTGTGAAATAGATTTTATATTGGACTTCAAATTAGGATCAGATCCTGACTCATTTCCAGTCTCTAGTTAGTAAATAAACCAATGTTTACCTACGTGGAAGTAATGGAAATTGTGGTTTGATTAATTCTACATGTATTGGAATCTGCCTCAGGCAGTAAAGAAGGATGATGGATAAAGAAAGACTATAAGACTATAAGTAAAAGACCCCTTCTTTGGTCAGATCAAGTTGCTAACCCTGTTATAGCTAAGATATCATATTGGAGAGAAGGGTACCAAGTATCTGGTTCTAAAGAAATGTGAAATGGTATTTACCAGAACTTAATGTCCTTTCAAAGCATTCTACCTACAATAATTGTATTTCTTAATGAGTGCAGAAAATCCATATTTTCCAAGAATTGCCAAGAAGATTTTTTGCTTTCAAGCAAGAATGACAATGATTTTCCTACAAGTTTGCCCTAGAAATCCTACAATCAGAAATCTAGTGTCTCTATGGATGTTCCTCTTGCAGATAGGATAATTGTGGCTGTTATCCTAGCCATGCCCGACCAGCAGAGACACTTATAGCCATAATTACAGCTGAAGCTACAGATGGAAGCAAACACATTTTATTGGCTCCTAAAGACAATGCAGTCATAACCTAGTACCGAAAGTATTTTAGTCTACCTTTGTGAAACAAGGCAAAATAAATCTTTCTCTTATTCTAAAAAGGCTTCTTCCTGCAACTCTAGTCAAACTCATTTTGAAAGAAGAACAAAACTTGGTGTGACCTTTGCTGCTGAGAACAGAAGGAGGACACTGGTTTCCAAACACCTTTGAAAATGAACACAGTATGTGTGCTCCTGCTGTTGATATGTATCTCAGCCTAAGATTGATTGTTTTGTCTCGTTGGCAGTGACCTTGGCGTGTGAAATAAAATATGTGGAAATGCACCAACGGAATTTTAAAATATGCTTCCCAGAAGTAGTTGTTTTGTTTTGCTTTGTTTGTTTTGTTTTGCTGTCAGTGCTGGCTTCTGAGACCCATATCAAATAGGGCAAGCATGAGTTGGCTTTTAACATACTATTTGCTTATCATATTCTTTGTTACTAGATGGATATACTTACTAAGGATTTTGGTAGTTCCAAATTGGAGCAATTTTCTTTTATAGGATAGGAATCCATTCTTTTTTCTTATTTTATTCCTCTAATCCTTGACACACTGCAAGTTTTCTGGGTAGATTGCTTAGTTAGTTAAGATATCGCAGCAAAAATCAACAACCCTGTAATACACTGGGATATAGCACATGGATGTTCTAAACTATAAAAAGCCTTACTGTACATTCTGTTTTCCCCAGACATACTCTTAATACTCAAATGATCACTGCTCTAAATCCACATTATCCTTAAACATAAAATTAGACCTCATATTACCCATTTCCTTGTTATTTTTTTAATGGCTGAAGCACAGCTTCTTGCTTTTTCAACATTCAGTTAATTTATCTGAGCAATTAATACCAAATAATGAAAACAATCTCACCTATAGAGAAAACTAGTTCACCAAAAAGTTGGCTTATGCTGATAGATGATTCCTGGATGACAGCTTTCACCACAGGGAAGTAGGTTTACTGAAGGGTTCATTACTAAATATATCTGGTATAAATACTGTAGTTCCTCATCTAGTTTCATTTTAGTATACATGCATCATAATTTTTCATTATATTGGGAAGTTATCTATAATAGACTGTGAGAATAATTTTGAAGCCGCAACCAAGCTGATGGTCATATAAGAGAAATTTGATTCCATATCCGGAATGTAATTTCAGAAAGCATCTCGAACTTGCAAGATCCTGTCACAGCACTATAATCTTATAATGAAAATAACTTTGCTTTTCTGATCTGGACTACCTTAAAGGGCTGACTATAACCTACCTTCCTTTCCCCCTTCCTTCCCTCATCTGAAGAGGACTATTTAAAATTCCACTTATTTGCCATGAATGAATGAACGCGCAAACATTCATAAACATTCCCATACCATTAATGGGCTTCATAATTTACACAACCAAAGTCTAATTGCAGCAGGAATTTAACCATTATATATTACCAATAGCAATCAATGTCTTTCCTATTTTTTCCTTAATTGATACTCATTGTGTTGTGTTATTTTATTCCATTGCGTTGTGTTATTTTATTCCTTTGATCTGAAAGTTAAATTTTCATTTAAAATAAAATGCCATGTGTAAAGGTCCTGGAATCATATTTTCATGATTTGTAGCCCCACCCCACCCTCCAGTTTTACATTTTGTTCTTGCTGAGGTGTCTGTGTAACCTTGAGCTTGTTGTTGCCATATGTGACTGGCATTCCTAATATGTGTATGAGACAACTGACCTAATAGGGTCTTTATCCAAAGTCTTAATGAGAACAAATTAAGAGTCACATTGGAGCAGAACCCCTTTTTTGGATGCTGACATACCTAGAGACCCTTAATTTGCAATTGCAAATTAATTGCAAATTACTTCTAGCAGATCTGCTGATTGAAACTGCACTGCAACAATGCTAACTTTTAAAGATATGAATGTGCATCAATATGCTTAAGGGTTTTTTGGCAAGCATTTTGAAACTAATATTTAATAATTGTTTTTTTATCGGCTTGTTGTTTTTTAATCTTGTCGTATGCCGCTCGTAATCACCTTTTTGCAAGATAGATGGCTATATAGATCCGATAAATATATAAATAAAAATTAAACTAATGTTTAATAATAATTGTTTTTTATCTGCTTGCTGTTTTTTAATCTTGTTGTATGCCACTCGTAGTCACCTTTTTGCAAGATAGATGGCTATATAGATCCGATAAATATATAAATAAAAATTCTCAATATCTTTAGTAGCTAGGGACAGATGTCTCTTTTTTTTATTGAAAATTTTATTAAAGTTTTACAATATACTTCCCCCCCTCCCCAGAACCCACCCTTCCCCTCCCCCCTCTCTCCCCCCCCACTTCCCAGAGCCAATCACAGGGTTAACAATACAATAAACATACTCTATCTAACATTAATCAACTATTAGATTAACAAATCTGTAACATCCTTTAACTCTCTTTTAAACAAACATATTAAACACAATAATTATAACATCATATTAATAAGTTATAAATAAAAGTAAGTATCCAATTTTAACGCATAAACTACATTAACACACTAAAATTTACTCAAAAACCAAATGAAACTTTTTAGTACCATATTTACTCTCAATATAATCTATCCATCTTCTCCAAACCAAAATATATCTTTCTTGTGAATAATCCTTCACATAAGCAGAAATCTTAGCCATTTCTGCTAAATTTGAAACTTTAAGTACCCATTCTTCTATAGTGGGCAAACGTTCCATTTTTCAACATTGAGCTACTAGTAATCTTGCAGCAGTTATCAAATTCAACATCAAATCCATTTCTTTTTTATCCAAATCTTCCATAATACCCAACAGAAATATCTGCAGCTTAAATTTTGTCTTTTTCTTAAAAATATGTCTCTTCTCAGCACTTTTACGATATAATCCACTATCAGTAGCAAGAAGAAGGCAGGTGTGATACATGTACAGGTAATCCTTCAAATCTACAAGATGAACAGAAATATTTTTTATTCCAGTGTATGAATGATCCAAACTGATTTGAAAGCTTCATTTATGTCTTGCTACCATCTCTGAGCAGATTGCGTAGCTAGGGCTTTTTCAAAACTTTGGAGACCCAAAACTATTCAGGAACATTATCTTCCTATATCACGATTTCCTTTCACTGTACCTGTGGATTTATTTTTTGTTCAGAGATGTCAATTGCCCAATTATTGGGATTGTTTATGTAATCAGCAGCATCCATGGAAATAAATTAAAAAAAAATCAAGGTGGTAGCTACCACTGTTCAAAGCCTTGTCCTCTTTGATGTGCATGACATTAATTAACAAAAGGATGAAGCTTTAATTGTGTAGTCATAACCACCAAGTTAACTTTTTTGGTGCTTCTCCCATGGATGCACCTGTCTGAAATAAGCTTTTCTATTACCTTTTAACTGATTGTTTTTGCTACCTTGGATGCATCGCTCCATCTGAGAAATCTCAAATACTAACCATTGTGCTGAAATTAGAGATAGGAAAAAAAGCAAGCGGCCCCAATTTTTATGAACATCATAGAGGTAAGTGTTGTGGGTCCCAATTCAAAATACTGCCCCATGTACTAACTTTAAAAAAATCAAAGTTGTAGGCAAGTCATTCCATGTCACATTTAAGTAAGACATATCTGAAGGAGTGGGGAGACATTCTTTGTTTAAAACTCCTGTAAATCATAGCTTGCTATTTTTTTCTGAATGAAAATAAAGTTCTATTTTTACCTTCAATGGGTTCTTGTCATGTTTCTTGCATGTATTATACA